TGTTCTAGCAGTAAACTACAAAATATCTGAGTATTTTCAATTGAATTCCCTTTTTAAAGCTCTCTCACAGAGCAACCATGCAGAAGAGACACAGGTTGGTTATAATGGCTTTGACTGATGGCCTGCAAGGGGAGTGTGGAAGGGACAGTGAAGTGACAAGTGGGCGATTGCTTCTGTGTGTGTGTGTGTGTGTGTGTGTGTGTGCGTACACAACCTTAGAATCCGGGCACACAGGCCGACGTGCTCTGACGTCTCAGGTCCTGGCTGTCGGGTCCTGGGGCTGCACAGGGCACACCCACTGTCCTGCCCCTCAAGGCTGCAGCAGCAGACGCCTCTTGAGGAAGCCCATCCCCAGGAAGCATGCTTGGTCAGTGTTAGGGGTAGTATCCGAGTATGGCTGGTAGTTTCTCCCGGTTAGAAAGGAAAGTAAAGATCATGAGGGAAAAAAACAAACAAACTGCTTTCCAGGAAAAGAGAAAAAATAGGGAGGATTTTAAATACTACCATCCTCCAAGTTGTCAAATCGGAAGAGGACAAGACCCTGTGGAGCCAGGGCTCAGAATGAGAAGGGCAAGTAATTGGCCTGTTCATCTGCAAGGCTCTGTTTAACCTGATGAACCCCAAGGACTCAGGGGCCCCCTCCACCCCATGCTCCTGACAGGTGCGGGCTGGATGAGGTGGTACCCGTAAAGTGCTTAGAAACGGAGAGGGCACACAGCACACGCCTGCTGCTAATTTAAATCCTGTTTTCACAGGTGAAAATCAGATTTTTAAAAAAGGCTTCAGGATCCCAAGTTGAGTCACTACACACAAGAACACCTCAATTTATCAAGTTTGACTGGATTCCCTTAAAGTGAGTTCTGCAGGTGTATTTTCTACAGCCCCTCACCCCATACAAGCCCACAGGAACAGGGCATGAGCTGCAGGGTTCAGTGCCTTCCACGTCTCAGACCACACAGGTATGAAAGTGTGCAAAGGATTCAGATAAAATACATAAAGATAACAATCTTTAAATATCTAGTTTTGAAAGGGGAAGAAAATACAGACAGTGAAGAATAAAAGCAGGCTACAACCTCAAAGCAATGAAGACGTTCAAGTTCAGAGGTGACATCACACGGAAAAACACATCTTAAAGACACTATTCTTGGAGGACGCAAGATTTTGTTTTTAATATGAGCGACAGAGAGCTGTGTCAATAAAATTAAAACATAAAAGGATCAGAATTAGAAATGATCCAGGCACTGAGGGTTGAAGGTCTGAGTTATGAAAATGTGCCTCTGTGATGACAGTGTTTAGGAGCAGCTTTCTCCCAGCATTTTTTTTTTAAACGGGGGAAAGACAGAGAAAAACAGTGGCCAAAACACAAGATCATTTCCACTCCATGAGAACGTGAGTGACCCCAACATTACAAACGGATGCTTCTCCAGGTGATTCAAGAAGTCAGTTGGGAAACCCACATAAATGATTTTCCAAATCTCTCAATGGAAGAGGATTTCTATGGAAGCAGAAACGCCACGAATAAACCGTAAATGCCACCAACTCTGGCAAAAGGCAGATGAAGGTGAGGGTGGAAACACAGAGAAGAAAAAGATGCTGATCACAGGATGCAAGGCACGTGCCCAAGTGAAGGAAACACGGGAACTACTTAACAACCACCCTTATTTCTCCAATGCACAAAGCAACAACGAAAATGAAGTGCTGAAAAATATGAAAATGAAACACCCCACACTCAGTTTTCAGGATACTCCAGGATACTCACAACAATGTAGCACAGCCAGACTGTATAATCCCTTTGTTAAAAAAATATCTTCTTTTATGTTGTATGAACAAGTTGAAAGAGTTCCCTCACGAGTTCACTGATGCTCAGCACTGTGGCGCGGCTGACGTGCAAACTCAGCTTCTCTCTTCCTTCTCACGCATCTGCTTTCCCGCTCCAGTAATGACTTGGATTAGAACCACCATTTCTTGAGTAAATACTATCTTTCTGATGCCTAAGAGTGTCATCAAGACACAACCGGGGTCATATCCCACAGCTGTAAAAAGAAGAGCTCTAATGAACTACAATTAAATTGTGCTGAGGACCGACAGTCCTTACAACAGAATTTTTAAATTTAACAAGGAACTAAGTGTTGAACTAACATCATTCATAAATCTATAAAACAGTATTTGTCCACGAAAAAGTTTCAACATATCTTCAAAACCAGGGCAATGGCAGCTGGAAATTGTAATCCAGTTGATGGAGAATAAAGGCAGATTCAATTCATTTAAGGGGGAAGGGAAGTGACATGTATGAGACAACAAATGGTACCAGGATG